TAGTTGAAGGGAATGTCCCAGTATTATAATACCATGATCAAACATGTCATTCACTACTGAACTTTTAATAAGTGCACATACAACCACTAAAAATGATGATCAATTGACTTTCCACCAAAAAACACAAAATTTTGTACACACACAGGCAAGGTCATATATGTTCACATAAAAATACGGGTAACTCCAAAAAAAAAAAAAAATGTGAAATTCTTTTTTTCTCTCTGTATGTCTGTAGTACGGCAACCAAGGTGGCTCACAACATGGCATTTTATAAAACCATTTTCACAATTAATTTTTATTTATAATTCCTTTTCAATAAAAATTTTCGGTTCTGAAATCCATTTTTAAAACCCACTTTCGCTTCTGATATATGTTTTCATTATAAAAAAACAATTGTTTGAATCCATTTTCGTTTTTAAAATCAGTTTTCAAAATCCGTTTTCATTTTTAAAATCCGTTTTCATTTTCAAAATCCATTTTTTAATTTCAAAATCCATTTTCGTTTTCAAAATCCATTTTCATTTTTTAAATCCATTTTCAGTTTCAAAATCCATTTTTGATTTCAAAATCCATTTTTGTTTTTAAAATCCATTTTTGTTTTTAAAATCCATTTTTGATTTCAAAATTCATTTTCGTTTTTAAAACCCACTTTGTTTTCAAAATCCATTTTCATTTTTTAAATCCATTTTCATTTTCAAAATCCATTTTTGATTTCAAAATCCATTTTCGTTTTTAAAATCCATTTTTGTTTTTAAAATCCATTTTTGATTTCAAAATTCATTTTCGTTTTTAAAACCCACTTTGTTTTCAAAATCCATTTTCATTTTTAAAATCTATTTTTTTAATCAGTTTTTGTTTTTACTAATCCGTTTTTATTTTTAAAATCCATTCTCACGTTTTTGTTGACATTTGAAGTATAGGTATATACGTATTTTTCACGTTGACGCAAATTTTCCATCAGAATTTACATAAGAATCGCTGTTGTTTCCCGCCTATCGCATTAAGTTTAACTGTTTTTACTAAGATTCTCATTTTGATTCGATATTCGATTTGTGTTTAGTATACATTTTAACCTTGACCTGATAGTTTTTTTGATTTCCACCAGTGATGTTTCCATGACAAGGCTTCTCTACGCAAGTTATTCTTCAGGCTATAACTTTAGCCGTGGTTCCGCGGCGATTTTGGTTCATAAAGGACTCTTGGCTTCACCGGTTGGTCACAGTCAGCTGGCGCACACCTGATATAATAAAATAAACCTTGGAGCTCTCATTTTATCAGCTGTAACGTTGATACTCAGATTAGAACAAGTTATAGCTGTGGGTCTGCTGTGTTATCGTACCGGATAAAGTACTGTCAGTATACAAGCAGCCCCATCGGTGTTTGTACAGGCATTCGACGCGATAGCGTAAGCCGACAGATGAAGCCAAGAACCCTCTATGGATCCAAAACGCGTGGAATCACGGCCAATAGGTTATAGTCTAGAGAGACTTACGTA